TTTGGCATAGTCAATAAAGCAGAAGTAGATGTTTTTCTGGAACTCTCTTGCTTTTTCTAAGATCCAACAGATGTTGGCAATTTCATCTCTGGATCACTAACCATCAGAGAAATGTAAATCAAAACTACAAGGTATCACCTCACACTGGTCAGAATGGCCAGTATCAACAAAGTCTGCAAACAATAAATGCTGGAGAGGGTATGGAGAAAAGGGAATCTACACTGTTGGTGGGAATACAAACTACTACAACTACTAAAGGAGATGAGTGTGGAGGTTCCTTAAAAGCTAAAAACTGAGCTACCATGTGACTCAATCATCCCACTCCTGGTCTGTGTTAGGGCAAACCATAATTTGAAAAGATACATGGACACCAATGTGCATCACAGTGCTATTTACAATAGCCCAGACATGGAAGCAACTTAAATGTCCACTGACAACGGAATAAAGAAAATGTAGTATATATACAATGGAATATCACTCAGCCGTAAAAAAGAACAAAACAATGCCATTTGCAGCAACATGGATGGGCTTACAGATTATCATACTAATGAAGTAACAGAGAGAAAGACAAATATCATCTGTTACCACTCATTTATAGAATCTAACTTAAAAAAAAACAAAGGATACAAATGAACTTATTTACAAAACAGAAAGACTCACAGATTTCAAAAACAAAGTTATGGTTACCAACGGGGAAATGCGGGAGAGAGGGATGAAGTAGAAGCTTGGGATTAACACACACACACACTACTATATATAAAATAGATAACCAATAAGAATTACTGTGTAACATACAGAATTCTACTCATTATTCTTTAATACCTCATATGGGTAAAGAATCTGAAAATGAATGAATGTAGGTATAACTGAATCACTTTCCCACACACTTGAAACAAATGCAATATTATAAATCAATTATAATCCAATAAAATTAAAAAAAAGAAAATGCAATGATTGAAAACAAGAAAAACTATTTTCAAACTCACCTACCAATGCAGGGGACAAAGGTTCAATCCCTGGTCCAGGAAGATCCCACATGCCATGGAGCAAAGAAGTCTAGGCGCTGTAACTACTGAGCCAGCGCTCCAGAGCCTGCAAGCCACAACTACTGAGCTGATGCGCCACAAGTATTGAACCTGCATGCCCTAGGGCCTGTGCTCCACAAGAGAAGCCACTGCAAAGAAGAGTAGCCCCCACTCTCTGCAACTACAGAAAAGCCACAGGTAGCAACAAAGACCCAGCGCAGCCATAAATAAATAATCTTTTTTAAAAAAGATCCTTAAAAAAGAAAAAGAAAAAATCTTCATTTATAGGCAACATGACTGTCTACAAAGAAAATCTGAAGTAATCAACAAAGAAAACTACTAAAACTAATGCGAGTCTATTCAAGTTGAAGGACAAAAGATTAATGTACAAAAATCAATCATATTTTGAGGATTTCCCTGGTGGTGTAGTGGCTAAGACTCCATGTTCCCAATGCAGAGGGCTGGAGTTCAAGCCCTAGTCAGAGAACTAGGTCCTACATGGTGGCGTGACTTGTAACAGTTCGCATATGGCAACTAACAGATCCCACAAACTTCAACTAAGATCCAGTGTAGCCAAATAAGTAAAGAATTTTTTTTTAAAAAACAGGAAAACATTTTAAAAAATCAATTATATTTCTATTTACCAACAATGAACGATCAAAATTTGAATTTAAAATGTCATTTACAAGAATATTTCATAACACTTATGGAGACATACGACAAAAGATGTGCACAATTTGTACACTGAAAACTCCACAGCACACTGAGGGAAATCTAAAAAACACCTAAATATAAGGAGAGATTAGCCAGGCTTATGAGTTGAAAGGCTTAATACTTCTAAGATGTCATGTCTCTGCAAATTGATCTATGGATTCACCATCATCCTAATCAGGATCCCAGCGATCTTTTTTGTAGAAATTGGTAAGATGGTTCCATAATTTATATGGAAAAGCAACTAACCTAGTATAGCTAAAACAGGTTTGAAAGATAGTTAAGTTCAAGGACTAATCAAGCTGGATTTCAAGACTCGTTATCAAGACAGTGTGGTCTGCTGTAAAGATAGACAATTCGATCAATGGAAAATACTGAGAGTACAGAAATAGTTCCATAATTATTTGGACAAATAATTTTTAACAAAACTGTAAGAGGCAATTTGGTGGGAACTGGGTGGTCATTTCAACATATGGTGCTAAGAACTGAATGTCACAGACCAAAAAAAATTAGTATCAACCTACACCTCACACCATACACAAAAAAACAAGTCAAAATGGATCACAGGTCTAAATTACAAAACTTCTAGAAATATATGAGAAAACCTTTATGGCCTTGAGTTAGGCAAAGATCTCATATGTAATAACAAAAGCATGATTCATAAGAAAAATACTGATAAACTGAATTACCTCAAAATGAAAAACTTCAAAAGACAGTTAAAAGAACACAAAGGTCAGCCAAACTGGGAAAAAAAATTTGCAAAACATATCTGATAAAGAATTTATATTCAGAACATACTAAGAACTCTCAAAATCCAATGGTAAGACAATAAACAATATAACGGAAAAAAAAAAGGCAAAACAACCAAATATTAGAACAGACATTTCAGCAAAGAAAATAAATGGATAGCAAAAATCACATAAAAAGACACTTAACAGCGTTAGTCATTAGAGAAATGCAACCTAAAACCACAATGAGATACCACTGTTCACATCCACAGGAATGACTAAAATGACAAAGACTGATCCACCAAGTATTGGCAAAGACTTACAGAAACTGGAAGCATCACACACTTCCAGTGGGAATGTAAAATGGTACAATTTTTCAAGAAACATTTTGGAAGTTTCTTAAAAAGTGAAACACACACCTATCAAATGATCTACTCCATTCTACTCCTAAGAAAAATGATGGCATGCATCTTGCACAAAAACCTTTATAACAGCTTTATGTGTAACGGGTGAAAATTGGAAAAACCCAAATGTCCATAACAGATGAATGAACAAACTGCATTATATGCCATACAGTGGACCACTACCTATCAATAAAAAGGAATGAAAAATTACTGACACACACTACATGGGTGACTCTCAAAACCAATCATGTTAAGTTACAGAGGCCAGGCAAAAAGGCGTGCATGCTGTATGCAGTTACATACACAATTTTAGGAACAGCGAGCTAACCTACAGTGACAGAAAGCAGAGATGAAGTAGGAAGGGAGCGATGATGAAGGCACATGAGGAAAACTCTGTGGGACACGAACACATTCATTATCTTGATTACAATGTTAGTTTCATGGGTATATTCACAATCTAAACTACATCAAAGTGTATACTTTAAAGATGCACAGTTCACTGCAGCTCAATTAAATCTCAATATTTAAAATCAACAGGACTTCATATCTAAGGATAGAGCAGGAGTTACAGAGAATATATATGCAAGACCCATTAGAATCGAATTTCAATCTAATTACTACTGTATTTCCAGTGCCTACATCAGTACTTGGTATAGCACAAGCTCAGTCAACAATTCACACCACAAGGAGAATACACATGCAAGGGTACGACAGAGGCCAAGACTGGTTCTAGGTGATTACAACCAAAAACTGACGCCATAACAAAATTCTTCTCCAGTCATGATTCTTTGATTATGTTTATCATGACTATCATTATTTCTCACAGTAATCTGGCCTCAAGTGTTAAAAATTTATATAGATACTGATACAGATTTCTGCTCTAAAATTCATGGTAAACCAGTAACATTCTTAGCCTTACAGGATAGTTTTGTTACCCACGGCTCTATTCCAAGTGCCCAGAGGAGAATGTGTTTCTTTGACAGTCCCCACTGCCAATCCACATCTTCACATTTATTTTAGTTTCTTTAGTGGAACCACTATCAGATTTATGTTTTCTGGTATAAGTTATCTTAGGACCTATTTAGTACATTTAAGCTTTCTGTTAAAACAGACTCAATCTATTCCACTGATTTACAAAGCTTTTGAAGAAGCAGAAAATTTTTCTGATGATCTGAATTTTTTTATTAAAAAAAAAAACAACAAAAAAACCTCTGTGTTCCATAACACAGACGGAGTGTTTTGATCCTTAGAAGATATCACGAATTGACTTTCTTAGCAATGGTGCAGCAGATGTTTCAATTACAAATTCTAGTATTTGCAATCACTACACAATGTACATTCTCACTGGAGGTCTGTGATTGATCATGCTGGTATGGTTAAGTTTCCAAGAGGCAAAGACCATTCCAAGATTCTAAGGGGCAGTGTGAGTGTCCTAATTTAGCCAACCTCAAACAACACTAGAGGCCACAAGGGTAAAGACATACAGGTTTAATTACATCCTATCTCAAAAAAAGCTCAAAGTACATGCCCTTAACAGTGGAGTAATAACATTTCCAATAAATAATGGCTATCCAGGAAGAGGTGGGCAAGCATTTGGCTGGATGGGGTATATTGCTAATAAGAACAAAGTGAATGTGACAACCATATCCCAATATGGGTAAGCAAAATCCCAGGTCATGGTAAAGAAGTTTTTGAAAGAGTTATTTTGTTAATTAGTGTAATTTACACAACAAGGTAGCCGTGATTATGAGAAGGCACCTACGAAGATGGGAAAGTGACGAAGAGGTGAACTGATATAATGTGATTATGTGCCTGGGACTCTGTACATGTTACTTCCTGTGACACCCGTGACATTCCCAGGAAGGAGCTGTAACCGCCTCCTCTTACAGAAGACAGAGCTGGCAGCAAAGTGAAGTAACCTGTCCCACGGCCACAGCTATGACCACACTGGAGCTCTTGGTTTCTCGTTCAGGCCTGCTGGCTCCAAAATCGTGATGTTCTCATTACTCTATGCAAGTTACACAGGAAGACGTCAACAGAAGAAAAGCAAGTAATATGCTTGGCTTATTTTCACTGATGAGAACGCCAGCTAAACGCTGCCATAACAGACTAAGGCACAGACTAAGACTTACTTCAAGGAGGAATCTCCAACGCCAATACACCCCCGCAAGCTCAGCTTCCTCAGGAACCCACCACATCGCTTTGAGATGTTTTCCACCACTCGACCCTTCAATGGAGAAAGTTGGAAAAAGTCTTATTCATGCTGCTTATCTAACAGCAAAATAACCTGAAGTTTAGGAACTAAATATGTATTTCCAGGTGTAATAGATGATATTTTAGAATATTCTTCCAACACCCCACTTCTGCTCCTTGTGTATAAAGGGACTGCAAGCACTAAAAAAAAGTTTTCAATTAAAACATTAAGTTTTTAAAAAAAATCACACACTACTCTTTGAATGCCTCGACTCTGGAGGTAGGCCTCCCCTCGCCAGGGCTCACGGCTCCTCCACAAATTCTAAGGTTTTTGAGGTCTGCTATGGCAACACTGGCTGCTGGGCAGAGATCTAAAACAAAGTTGCCTTAAAAAAAAAGAAATCTATTTAAGCTAAACAGTACTACTCTAAAAACATGAAAATGCATTGTAAAAGCTATCCCTTTCTTCTCAGCAATCCCCTATTTAAACACATTTGCTTTAAAAAGGTAACTTTGGCAGATACATGAGAACACTGATTAAGCACTTCCACTTTTTCAGGCATGATTTTATTACTTTCTTGTATCCGTTAAGGCTCATTTAATATTCACAATAACTGTGCAGACTACTCTTCCATGAACTAAAGAAGAGAATGTCTGAAATACAGGAAATCCCTTGGGATGTCTCTCAGTATTAATATGCTCTAGGATTAAAGTCAACGGGAAACTGAAGCCAGTCCAAAGAGGACTGTTCATGGCTTTGGGAATGGCCGTTTGGGTCACTCCACTGACTGAGGAACCACAACCAGCTGAGGGGCTGAAGACAAGAATACAGAATGTGTGGTAGAAGGTAGTTATAAGTGCCAACTCTGACCACATGACCAGTTAGAGAGATTAGGACTATAACTGTTGTACTTTCTCCCTATTTTGTTATGAATGTGTGTGTATAGAACAAACGTATTTCTTTCTTTCCTCTCTTATCCCCTTTCTGTGTGATATGAGATGTACTGACTTTATGTCATAGTATTTAAGTTCCTTCAATTCTGCATTCAAGTACTGAAGGCACGGAGTGTCAAGAAGAATGACTATCACTCTAGGACTCTACCTCCTCTTCTGAGGAGGGGCTTAAGTGTATTTTTGATTGTACACTGGATAGTTGAATCACATTAGGTGGAATCATGAGTTCATACTGTCTTTATGTGGAGATCAAGCATGGTTTATGGACATGCCTGTGGGTGCACGTTGACAAGGGGTGAACTCACGATGATTAATTTTATGGTCAACAGGACTGGGACAGAGAGCCAGCCTGTGACCTGGCCAAATGTCACTCTGGGTGTTGTCTGTGAGGGCTTCTGGATGAGATTAGCATCTGAATAGCAGGCTGAGTAAAGCAGATTGTCCTCCCCAGCAGGGGCGAGCAGAGCAAAAAGCGCTGACTGAGAGAGAACTCCTGCCTGATGGCTGAGCCAGACACAGCTCTCTTCTGGCCTCTGGACCTGGGCTGAAACATCAACTCCTCCTGGGTCTCGAACTTGCCAGCTTTCAGGCTGGAATTCACACACCGGCTCTGCTGCCTCACAGAGCTTCTGACTCAGACGAGCTACAGCTCTCCTGGGCCTCCAGCTTGCGGGCGGCACGTCTGGGAACTTCTCAGCCTCCATCATCATATGACCCAGTTCCTCATAAGGAATCTCTACATCTGTATCTATATACACACGAAATCTTATTGGCTCTGTTTTCCTGGAGAATCCAGACTAATACAGGGTGGACTCAATACCTTCATTTTGCAAGTAAATAAAGTAAATGGTTAAATTGCCAACGCTGCACTTCACTGAGTAGCAGAGCTGGGGTTCATAAGGAGTTTCTGTGACTCTAAAAGCTGTGTCCTCTGCATGATAACCACACCCAGGAGGGAGCAGACACTGAAAAGGCCATTTCGTTTCATCCGTAATACTATCATCCTTACCTTACAAAACGGCCACCTTGACACTGAGCTCTAAGCAGGAAGGGTCCACTAGGACACATCAAACCACAGTATTACAGAAGCAAGATTCACACAGGCTGGCTAACAACTTAAGTTGAAAATCCAAATTCTGATATTGCTGGTGGCTTTATCTATGCTTTCTTGAGTCCTACCTATGTTAATAATTAGTTTTTGAGCCAAAACTCCAGACACCTTTAAAATAAATTTCTGTCAGTGGGAGGGAAAAAAAAAAAAAAAGACTATGACTTGGAAATCCATGAAAAATATCTAAACACTGAATAAAACTGCAAAAATAGCTCCATACCAACATCTACAAATAGAGCACATCATTCTGTTTCCTCCATTTCAAGTTAGTCACACTTATACAAACTTCCTATTATTCCGTCTTTGGAGTAGAAGTTTTTATATTGGAATAAAAAAATTACATTCAGAGTTTTCTGTTCCAATGTTTCTAAATGAGAGAGAAAAAAAAAGCAAATCCGTTTCAAATGCAAATTCCAGTCAGTGACACTGTGTAATAGCCATCAGTACGCTACAGGTAGGCATTTTAGAAAGAAAGGCGTGACAGAAAAGTAAGGCCTAACAGAGGAGTCCTTGGACTTACGACTTTCAGATAAGACTATTTGGTTATTTCTCATTTTTGGCCTCACAGGCTCTTTGAACAACCATGAAGACAACAAAATGTTCAGCTTTCAAAGGTCTGGAAAAGGCTAAACATCAGGGAAATGACACTTATTCAGGAGACAGGGATGCTCAAGGAGAGGCCCGATGCACATGTGCCACCTGCATGTGCTGTTCTGCCTTTTCTTTGAAATTCAAATCACGAAATCCACTGTTCCAGGTATCTACTCTCTCTTCTTACTAGGTGAGTGACCTTGGGGAAGGTATTCAAACTTTCTGCGCCTCAGTTTCTCCCATTTGGTGTTTCTGAGAAGGCTAAATTAATTAATACACAGAAAGTACTTAGAACAGTACCTGGCACGTGGTGAAAACTCTAGGTACACCAGTCCTGCTCCTTGGCACTTTCCCTCTTCTCTCAACAGATCCACTTTTGTCCCAAAGAAATGAACCTGAGACCATGAGTTTATCCAGGGGATGCTTGCCTGGGTCATCACCCAGAGGTGCTATTTAGTGTCCACGGTTGGTGGTGGTTTAGTTGCTAAGTCGTGTCCGACTCTTCCAACCCCATGGACTGTAGCCCACCAGGCTCCTCTATCCATGGGGTTCTCCAGGCTAGAATACTGGAGTGGGCTGCCATTCACTTCTCCAGAGGATCTTCCTGACCCAGGAATCAAATCCGGGTCTCCTACATTGCAGGCAGATTCTTCACTGACTGATCTATGAGGGAAGGACTGGTTATTTGTCTACGGGGGGCCCCATACTTGGTTTAGAATTCAACCTGGATTCACAGTGGGAGCCCAAAGAGGGGACTAATTAGTACTAGACTATATTCTTCACAAGTAGCTCTCTACACATGTGGTGAGCCATGACCTGGTCTCTCCTTTAGTAGAAGAGGGGCTTTCCCGGTGTGGGAGATCTGGTTTCGATTCCTGGGTTGGGAAGATCCCCTGGAGAAGGAAATGGCAACCCACTCCAGTATTCTTGCCTGGAGAATTCCACGGACGGAGGAGCCCGGTGGCCTACAGCCCATGCGGTGGCACAGAGTCAGACATGACTGAGCAATTCACACTTTCACTTTAGTGGAAGTACTCAAGTATTTCTGCAATGCTTTTATACAGCTGCAGTCAGCTAAAATAGTGAAGTCAAATAATGCACAAGGTAGTGATATTTACTTGAGATAGCATTTTTTTCCTTGGCATGCTGTGTGGCATACAGGATCTTAGTTCCCTAACCAGGGAACTGCACTGGGTGCACAGAGTCTTAACCACTGAACTGCCAGGGAAGTCCAGAAATAGTATTTTTTAATATCTGAATTGAAAAACTTTTTATGTGCCTTCCAAAATGTTGCAGTTTGGAAAAATCAAAGAAAACTGATGATTTAAAAAAAAAAACCCACAGGAAAAAATGTTTACAATTTTTTTAAAAAACAATGACTCTCCTTTGCCCAGACAAAATGACCACAATTTTTGGAATTTAATATTCTCCTCAACATTGCTAAGTAAACATAATGAACAAAGCTCTATAGACTGTCAGTTTGAAGGGGAAATATATGTCAGCATGTTTGGGAGGGGCACTGTTGTAATCATTAAGTCTGGAAGGAGTTTTAAAGAATCCCTGACTCAGGGACCAGAGTTCAAGCCAAGAATTAGAGTTTATCTTTCCCAGGAGCTTGGGAAAACCTGAGGCCCCTGCCCCCTGCCAAGCTCAGACCACAGGAACCTGTGTGGAGACCGAGTGTGGTCGACCTTGTGCTCAGCCCTGCCTCCTGCAGCAGCGTCTGCTTCACTGGTTTAGACGGGTCCAGGACAGGCATCACCGACTCAATGCACGTGAGTCTGAGCAAACTCCGGGAGATGGTGAAGGACAGGGAAGCCTGGCAGGCTGCAGTCCGTGGGGTCGCAAAGAGTCGGACACGACTGAGCAACTGAACAACCACAAAGAGACAGGCAAGCAGCAAGTGACCAGAGAAGGAGGTGACGGGCCTCCACATCTGGCCACTGGTTCTTGGTAACACCATCTCCCTGTTAAACCTATTTCCTTATCCATTAAAAAAGACACAAAATATGTAATAAAAACATGTGAACACGCTACACGAGTAACTGATTTAAAGCACAATTCCACTACACTGAGTTGACTAAACTAGAAATCAGTAAGGTTTTACTAACAATGGGCAGATAATAAAACTTTAGCATCTCCAAACCCTTAAAATAGTACTCTAGACAGTTACTACGTGTAATGCTCTTTTTTACTTCCCTGTTTCTTTTTGGTTAGAAATGCGTATTTAGTATTAAAGTTGTTTTAAGAAAAATTTTCTCATTTGATCTGGTTTACTATTCTTTTTTTTATTAATAGTTTATTAATAGCTTCTTTATTAGTTTAACTGGCAGATATACTCAAAGGACTCAGAAGAAAAGTGACATTATATTACTAACCGTTTGCCAGGTTAAATCTTTAACCTAGGGAGCTTTGAGTATTTTTTTACATTCCATATTTGGTTAATTTGACACAAATCAGAACTCCCAACTCTAGAACGGCTCAAGTGTATTCAAATTAAGCAGGAAAATATCTAATCGCGATTGCCTAAGAATTCACAAGCACTGTACTCTCACGTAGGGGAATAAGCAGCATTGAATAGTGTTGCTGTTCAGTCACTTAGTTGCTAAGTCATGTCCAACTCTTTCGTGACCCCATGGACTACAGCCCACCGGGCTCCTCTGTCCATGGGATTTTCCAAGCAAGAATACTGGAGTGGGGTGCCATTTCCTTCTCCAGGTGGTTTACCATCCTTAAATGAAGACATTCACATATTTCCAGGTAAATATACCAGAATCCTGGAATTATAAGGGCTCTGAAGATTACTCCCTGCCTTATTTTACAAACAATAAACCCAGGGCACTGAGAGTGCGCGCCCTCCATGGCCGAGCAGGAGGGACAGCTCTACCCCCAGCCTCCCCCCTGGGCTCGTGCCCCCGCCGCGCCTCCATCCCCAGCGCTGAATCAGAACCCTCAGCGGAGTTCTCAGATCAACAAATGCTTGTCAAGAGTCTCCCAAGGCTAACGCACTGAACCAAGTTTTAATGATACAGGTGTGAGGCTTTGAAAAGCTGAGTGGGAAAGCTCAGACTGTAAACATGAATAAGGTGGTAAAGTAAAATTCTGTTACTGATAGAAGCAAAAACACAAACAGAATTTTGGTCTTGAAGTATGCAAATACCTTCCAGGTGTTTTTATTCTCTATTCCACCTTGGCGGCTTAATATTAAATCTAAACATGATAAACAAAAGGGCAAGAAAGAGTGAGCAGTTGACTTTTAAAAAATCTTTAGTCTAAAACTGGTTAACTTACCTCTACATCTGTTTGAAAGTTGAAAAGGTCTATTCTTTGCCAGTTGCTTCCATCCAGGGCTAAGATGTTCCAAGCCTGGGAAGTTGGGAGGGATGAGGGTGAAAAAGATAAATTTATTGAGACTGTTAAAGTCTTGATTCAACTTTTCTATTTCCAAACATTTATTCTTAACAGATATTAAGGCAATAATCAAATGTGGAATTATGATAATACTGTTATGTAAAACAGAAAAGATGACATTTCAATTTTTAACTGTTTACTTGAGTGAAAACTCATCTTCATCCTAATAAAACCTGATTTTTTTAAAAAAATTTGTTTATTTTTTATTTCTTTTAATTGGAGGCTAATTGCTTGGCATGATTATTTCTTGATTACAAATCTGGTTAATACTCTACCTTGGAAATCTGTGCACATCGGCACAAAGTTACTATATCCAAGAAGGAAAATATTCTAGGAAGAAAGGGGAAAAAGCACAAAAATGAGATGGTATTAACATTTTAGAATATTTATAGTTGAAAGACAAAATCTAGTGTGCCATCTGCATATTAATAATTTTTTCAAGATTTCTCAATTCATAATACACAAGTGCACTATAATTTTACCTCACTATTGTGAAATATTAAATGTTTGCACATTCCAAAGTTGTTTGAGAAATATTACACAAATTCCCTGAAACCAGAACTCATTAAACTTTTATTTCTCTTGTTCTAAATCACAGACATGGGACAGTAGGTCATAACATGTTCTATTCAAAGACCAATCTCATCCACCAGACACTGAGCCTAGTGAGAGCAGGCCCCTAGCACAAGTGCAAACTCCCCTTTCAGCAGGAGATGCACCAAACAGGCTCAGGTGCCTGAGGTTCAAACAATACGGCCAAGAAAAGCTCCACGATAAAACCCACTTGCTTTCTGTTTGTTCACAGGGCAGAAAGATGGAGCTCGTTCCCTGGAGGGGTCTATAAATGACCAGTTTTTCCTGAGCAAAAGCCAAGAAGCTCTAGAAGCTAGGAAAGACGGGGAAAAAGACAAGGAGGGAGAAGTAAACTAAAACCCAGTGGGCGCTGCGGCGTGGCCGGGTGGGCAGCGCCTGGCCTCCTGGCAGCAGAGTGGCGCTGCAGACGACAGCGCCGTGGGATCGCTGCGTGAGCCTCAGCGCTCAGCAGCAGCAGCTGACAACAAGAGCCGCTTTCCTGGGACAGGAAGAGCGAATGGAGGTGCAGGCAGGTACAATGGGGTGTCAGTCCCCACAGCACCGCAAGTTCAGTAGGACAGTCTGTGCCTGAGGGTGTGGAAAGGGGAGGAGAGAGACGGCAAACAGCCATCTGTGAAGTTCTTAAAAATTCTTCAAAGGTAATTTCAGCGGTGAGTTGAAAACCCACGGGCTTGGGGAAGATGCAGATCCACAAACCACCAGAGCATTGCACCTGCAATAAAGCACCCACGAGCAGCACCACAGGGCTTGTGAAGGTGCAGATACTGTTCTACTATATAGACTCCTATCATTTTCTAGTGAAAAGCAAAGGAGAGAAGCTAAGGGCTGCGTTAATCTTAAAAGACGCAATGGAACTTTGTACATAGGAAAATGCTGGTGGGGGGAAATGTGTACCAAATATACATACACATATACAATAAACATATTTCAGGGTGTCTGTACACCGACAGTACATTGCTTCCATGGTGATATGTCTTGCCCCACCAACTCAAATGTCTGTGTTCTGTGCCATGTGACCATTCCCCAGTGAGCCACAGCTGATCATGAGCTCACTGCAAGGCCGAGGACTGGAGAAAGCAACACGGGAATGCTACAGGAGGATCACGGTTCACAGCAGCATCTGCTCTAAACCACAAGCTGAAGGTAGAAAGGGCTTAGCTAAATCTCCCTTGAAAACATCCCTCAACAACGTGCCACCTTGGAGACCACACCTCTACCACCTCTCAGTTATGATAACGACACTGGTAACTGTGTGCTTGAAAAGTATATGCTGGCCACTGTTTACGTCAGTCATTTAATTGTCCCAACAATGCTATGAGGTGCTATTGTGCTCTCCATTTTACACATAAGAACACTGAGCACCTCCCAAGGCCACAGAGAAAGAGCAGAGCCGGAATTTGAACCCAGGCAGTGCAGCTTGACAGCCCATGGCCGTGAGGCGACACACGGCTATAGCTACTGTTCCCGCAGGACTAGACTGGATGGATGCTCCTCAACTGCAGCGCGGATGAGGCAGCCTGTGCTGAGTAAGCGTGCTGTATGGAAACTGCATCTATAAAAGCCAGACTCACACTAACTCACACAAGATGCTCACGTGCTCACACAAGTGAGAGCCAACACAGGTTTACGTTTTTTTTCCTCCCAATTATTTTTATTAGTTGGAGGCTAATTACTTTACAATATTGTAGTGGTTTTTGCCATAGGTTTACGTTCTTATCTCATGCTCAATACCCAATGCTGCAGTTGCTGAAGAAGCAGACTGCCTTCACTGTTTATCTTATCCTCCCCACATCACGATTATATGTAGTTGCATCTGCACACGTAGGCATGCTACAACTCCAAACTGCCCAGTAAGCCAAATTCCTGAATCATGTTTCAGTGAAGAAAATGAATGCCTGGAATGACAGAGTCTGGAACACTGGCCACAGAAACAGAGTTAGGTCAAGGGGTAAGAGTTTTAAAGAAGAGGTCAAATACTGAATTTGCATCAAACTTCAAAACCTCACATTTTCCATTTTTTAAATGAAAACTTGGGCTTGCTTCCATGAAAAGATAGTTCCTATCAACTTAAATACACAAAGTAACTATGAACAATTTCAAAACTTTTTTTTTTTTGGAAATTGATTGCTACCTCAAATGTGATAACCACCCTTCATTAGGACAGCACTGAAAGGACACCTTGGTTACAAATACATACATACAGGGTATACATGAGTGGATGCATTTCTGCTCCACTGGTCTCTCTGCCTCTGTGGCAGTAAGACTGTTCTAATTATGAAGCTTAAAGATGCTGATGTCTAGTAACTTCAGTCCTTCAACTTTTTCTTCATCAAGATTATCGTGGTTATTCTTGGCTACTCAGTTTTTGAATTTCTGCTTGTGTTTTAGAATCAGCATATCAAATTTCACAGAAAAAAATTTCTAAAATCTTACTGGGATTATGCTGGATTTATAGACACTCTGGGAAAAATTTTACAGTGGCAAGTCTTCCAGCCCACAAACATGATATACTCCACTATTGATTTAGGACTTCTTTACTATCTCATAGTAATTTTTGTATTTGTCCACATAGATCCTGTTCATTTTTAGATTTGCTCTCCCCTCCCAGCTATTTGATGTTGTTACTATTAAAATGGAATTTTCTACATGTCATTTTCTAATTGTTGCTAGTATATAGTCAATTTTCATATACTACCTTGCATATAGCAACATTTCCAAATTCATTTATATATTCTAAGGATTTTCTACAAACAAAATCAATACATTTGAGAATAATGAACATTTCTTTCTTCCTTTTCAATGATCATACTTTTATACTTTCTCCTGCCTTACTGAAGTGGCTGTGATTGTCTCCAGTAACAACAATGGTAATGAAACACAACTTTTTCTCATTCCCATCTCAGAAAAAGCTGTCATTCTTTAATCATTCATTACTAGATGATTACTACAGGGCTTCCCCTTGCCTTTTCAATTTTCTAAAGTTACTCTGTTATGCCCTATAAAATATGTTTTGCACATGTATAAAATACATGGTTTTAACAGCATTTCTTTAACATATGCTTATTTCCTCTTTTAAAAATTTATTAAATACAAGAGCAGATAGTAGAGTTCCCATATATTACTGCCATCTTGAGAAAGATACACGCACAGACACAGTTTCCCCTACTACTAACATCCTACATTAGTGTGGTAACAATACAATTCATGAATTTATATTGATATATTGTCATTAACTACAGTCCATAGTTTATAACAAAGTTCACTCTCTGTATTGTACAGTTCTATGGCTTTTGACAAATGCATGATGAAGTATACCCACCACTATAGTATCAAATAGAATAGTTTACCCCTAAAAACCACCTGCGCTTGTCCTGCTAATCCCCCACCCATCTTCCTCATGAATCTTTGGCAACCACTGGTCCTTTCAATGTCTCCAGTCTTGCCTTTTCCAGAGTGTCATATAACTGGACTCACACAGTATGTAACTGTTAAGATCAGCTTTCTTCATCATACATATGTCTCTATCTTTTAGTCAGAAAACAGCTAATCGCTTTTTATTCCTGAATAATATTCCACTGTATGGCTGTATCATTGTTTATCCAATCATTTATATAAGGACATCCTGGTTTCTTCCAATTTTAAGTGATTATGAATAATATGGCTATAAATATGTGTATACAGGTGAATGTTTTCCACTCAGTTGGAGCATAAGTGCTAGATATGTTAAGTTTACGCTTAGCTATGTAAGAGACTGCCAAACTGTCTTCCAAAGTTGCTATACGGTTTTGAATCACCAGCAATGAAGGAGTTCCTGTTGCTCTGAATCTTGCCAACATCTGATAGGTTTTTAAATTTTACCATTCTATTACATGTACAGCAATATCTCATTTTATTTTAACTTTCAATTCCCAAATGATATTATGATATTAAGCATCTTTTCATATGCTCATTGCATCTGTTTATCTTCTCTGGTGCGGTATCTGTTCAGATGTTTTGCCACTTCTTTAAACTGGCCATTTCCTCATTGCATTTTCAGTGCTCTTGGTACACTGTGGACATCAGTCCTTTATCATATGGTCTTTGCAAGTATTTCCTCCCAAACTGGGGCTTGCCTTTTCATTCTATTAACAATGTCCTTCTCAGGGAAGTTTTAATGAAGTCCAACTTATCAATTTTGTCTTTCATGGATCATGCTTTTGATATTGTAGCTAGAACTCACTGTCAAACCAAAGGTCACCCACATATTCTCCGATGCTTCCTTCTAGAAGCTTGATAGTTTCAGGCTTCACATTTAGACTTACGATTCATTTTGAGTTGATTTTGTGAAAGCTGTAAGGTCTATTATTCCAATGCCGTTTGTT